CAGCCTTTCTCTATCGAAAGGTTGTCACTGAACCACAAGCACCTAGCTACTAAGGATAAAGAAAGTCTCTTTCTGTGCACAGCTGGGGGCTTTCCCCATCCTGGGACCACTGAAAGCAAGGATGACAAAAAGGCTGGGAATCTTGAAAGACAGACACAAAAGAAGAGTTGGATGTTAGACCCTGATCATAGTGCATCTTCCTACATGTTTAATAAAGAGTAGTGGTGGATAACTAAGAAAGACAGTATTTTATATAGTCTGTGTTAGTCTTTGGAGTATTTCTGTGCTTTGATTGGTGTGTTCAGTTTCTTCCGTTAGGTTATTTAACCTGTACTTCTCCAGATGATTTTTTTTGAGTCTCACCCATTCATTGTGGCAAATTTATGAGATATTTGAAGATATATTAGGCAGGGTCTCTGGAATCAATGAGGTCAGCATCTGATTTGGGAGATAAAACACACAGGCCAGGAATGTTTCCCTAATAATGAAGTCCAATGTGAGACTGTCCCTTGAAAGTGATGTTATCATAGTTGAGAACAGAGGGGTAATAAGAGTCAGGTAAGGCTTTATGGTGGAGGTGAGCTTGCCCTGAAAGAATGACTGTGAATTAACGATTAATGGCTTAATTTGCTGTTTTTGAAATCTCTAGACACCAGGCTAACAGAAATAGTTACGTTCTCCAAAGAGGTCAGAGTGTACATGAGCACTACAATGTTACAGATGCTGTGATGGAGTTATACTCAAGGTACAGAGGGAGCATGGGGGAGAGTGTGGTCACTTGTTCTGGCATGGGAAGCGTGGTCAGGAAAGCCTTTTTAGATGACATGTTGCTGGGCTAAATAGCTCAATAAAAAATACATATCCTTACAAGATATCTAATAGGAAAGCGTGGAGGTATATTGTTTAGGTTTTAACAATCCTCTGTATTTTAAACAGAAAAGATTGGATGTAGTGAGATGTGTGCTTACCAAATCATTGAAAGAGATGGAGAAGGTGGCTCTAGGCTGGGACTCTAGGAAAGACTTTATAGCACAGAACTGGACACCCAGAGGAAACATGACATTTATCTGAAAGAGTCTGGGTAATCAAGGAGTCCCCATTGATGGAATTTTTGGCTCCAGAACCACATCTCATCTGCTAGACTCCCAGCAGCAAAAGTGGAAGCCTCATGCTCAGGGCGCTTCTTCCTCCAGGTTACTCAGTTTTAATTCATGTCTTGAGGGATCGCATCTGAGTGGTGGAAATTAAATAACATCCTAAGTTGTTAGGAAGTCTAAAGCCTTTTAGGTTCTGAAGTTTGTGAACACTCACCAGATGGTTGGAACAGATTATGTACAGGCCAAGTTGCCTCCACAAGTTGTACATCGACTGCAAAAGTCAAAGACCATCTAGTACCATACCCCTGGGTAGGTGGGCTGTCTAATTGGACTGGCAAAATACAGATCAGAAGATTGTCCCATACAAGTCAAACACATGGAGGATATTCAAGTTTGTAATTTATAATTAACACACACGCACATGCCTACACACAGCCTAGCTGGTTATCTGCTGTCCACATTGCTCTCATGCACATTTCTTTTATTTTTAATTTTCTTTATTTATTATAGAGATATAATCGACATATTATATTAGTTTCAGGTATAAGGCATAATGATTCAATATTTGTATATATTGTAAAATGATCATCACAACAAGTCTAGTTAACATCTGTGACCACACGTGGTTACAAATTTCTTTTTCTCATGATGAGAACTTTGAAGTTCTACTCTCTTAGTAACTTGTAAATGTACAATTCAATATTATTAACTATACTCACCATGCTGTACATTACATCCCTAGGACTTATGTATTTTTGGAACTGGAATTTTGTAGCTTTTGACCCCTCCCTTCACCCATTTTGCCTCCTCTCTCCCCGCCCCACCCACCTCTGACAACCACCCATGTGTTCTCTGTACCTATGAGTTTGCTTTTCTGTTTTTAAAAATATAGAACACTTCACAAATTTGCGTGGGATCCTTGCACAAGGACCATGCTAATCTTTTCAGTATCATTCCAATTTTAGTATATGTGCTGCAAAAGGAGCGCTCATTTCTCTTTTTTCCTTTAGTTAAAAAAAATTGAGATATAGTTGATTTACAATATTATTTAAGTTTCAGGTGTACAACATTGTGAGTCACAATTTTTATAGATTATACTCTAGTTATTATAAGATATTGGCTATATTCCCTGTGCTGTACAATATATCCTTGTAGCTTATTTAATTTATACATAGTAGTCTGTACCTCCTAATCCCCTACTCCTATCTTGCCCCTCCTTCTTCCCTCTTCCCACTGGTAACCACTAGTTTGTGCTCTATATCTGTGAGTCTGTTTCTTTTTTGATATATTCACTAGTTTGTTTTATTTTTTACATTCCATGTGTAAGTGATAACATATAATATTTGTCTTTCTCTTTCTGACTTATTTTACTAGTGGGTTTCCAAACGATAAAATAGCTATCTCAATGCCAATCTCTAATAAAATTCTGGGCAGATAACTTGTAAGCATTTGAAAAACCTGGTGATGACTAAGAGCCCATAGGAAGTTACTGAAGACAAATGCACCTTACTTTAAAAATAAGGCTTCTAAATGGTTAAGTTTATATAAGTGCTACAGTGTATTTTGATTGTATGGAAGGATTTGATACGCTTCCTATGATATCCTTCTTGGAGAGATGGTTTATTATAGATTGGATGGCGAATTGGTTATTTTTTTGCTGCAAAAGAAACCACTCCAAAGTTAAGGGCTTAAAATATCAATGATTTTATTTGCCCAGGCTTCTGTGGGTCAGCATTTTGGCCTAGCTCAACTGGGCAGTTCTTCTGCTGGTCTTACTGGGGTCACTAATGTGGCTGCAGTCATCTGGTGGATTGACTGGAACTGGTCTAGGGAGCCTCAACTTGACATCCAATTTGTGTTCTACAAGGTGTCATTCTAGACCTGGTTTCTTCACATGTCAGTCTAAGGGCAGCAAGAGAGGACAGGCACCAAAGGGTAAGGGTAAAACCTCTGCCTGCAACAAAGCAAGTCACATATCCATGGGCGACAGGGGTCACCTAAAAACATGGATACAGGATGATGGGGTCAACAGGGGGTGGGGATCATAATTGTGACAGTGTACCACAGATGGTGTTAACTGAGTAGGTTTCTATCTAGTTGGACAACAGTTGTCACAGAGGAGGACTACCATAGATGCTGCATTCATCCTGTCCTATTTTAGATATTTGTTAATGACTTAGACAAAGGAAATGAATGCAGTTTTGACCATGACACAAGATTATGAAGAATAAAATAAATCCTGAAGATGACTTGTCAGTTTAGTCACTTGGCCAAAACTAATAAAAACACAATATATCAGTGTTAAATGAAAAGTCCTCCATGTATGTTAGTAAAGTAAATTATGAGAAGGCAGCATTGAAAGACATATGAAAACTATATTTGATACCATATTTATGAGACTAAAAGGATCAAGATGAATTAATAGAAACATAGTTCACAGGTAAAAGTAGCAGTTCCCCAGAACAAAATATTCCCAGTGTATTTTGTTTATTTCTGAAAATTCGTAGAAGAATATGGAGCTAGGGAAAATCTAGAAGGTGACTTGTATGATGAGAGGGTTCAAATATAATCTCCTGGAAAATGGTACAAATGAACCGGTTTGCAGGGCAGAAATAGAGACACAGATGCAGAGAACAAACGTATGGACACCAAGGGGGATGGTGGTGGGATGAATTGGGAGATTGGGACTGACATGTATACACTAATATGTATAAAATAGATAACTAATAAGAAACTGCTGTATAAAAAAATAAATAAAATAAAATTCAAAAATTAAAAAAAATGTAATATCCTGGAGGAAAAGTTGATGGAGTACTTGCTCTAGAGAAAAGAGGACTGAAGACTTATAGAAGATGCACAATCGATCCTAACACATGTGAAGAGCTGTCATGTAGAAGAGAGCTCTTAGGGAGGAAAAGCAGGATCAGTGGGAGGAAGTTGTTTGTAGATAGACTTTAGCTCAAGGTAAGGTACGGTACTTTAATAACTGGAGTTGTCCAGCGAGGAATGGAGTGTCTTACAAGTTAATGATCTCTCTCCTTGGAAGCTCAAGCAGAGTCTGGAACACTCTCTGAGATAGAAGAGATCCTCAAGGAATCCAATTCAATGATGCTCACTTTCTTCCTCTCCTATATTTTCACTTATTAAATTAAAGAACATTTCCTCCATTATTACTATGCTTTTTATTACTGGGGTGCTCTTTAAACGTTATGAACAGAATCATGAGTTTTCATTTTGGTTAACAAAACAGGAAATGTAAAAAAAATTCCTCCTTCCTTTGGCTAACGGCAAAGCCTCTTTTTTTTTTTTTTTTTTTTTTCCCGTTCAGGGTCTGCTGGGCCAATATTTAGAACATAATGTTATGACCTTGGAAGGAACACATCTCTGCCACTTCAGAAATAAGGAAACTGAAGCCTAGAGAGATGGAGAAACTTGCATGAGGTAATGTATATTCTTACCGGCAGAGCGAGCTTAGAACAAGGGGAGTGTCATTGTGTGAAGACAGCTTAGTCTTTAGATTTCCGAATACTCGTGTTCTCATCCTGGATATGTCTTTTGTTAGCTACTTTAGTTTTCTTTTCTAAAAATGAAGACAATTATACTTATTATAGGCCGAGTGAGATAACCCACATAAAGTACCTAGGACGCAGTAGAGGTCCAATAAATAAATGCTGAAGGTCCTCCATCCATGCCCAGGACATCATGTTACCCTATGCGATAAAGCTTTATTTCAATTAGTAGTATTCATTTCCTCCGGTGTATTCATTATTCTTCTAGAATACTATGTCTCAGTTTGTTGAGGACAGTCCTGGCTCATGTATATCATCCCAGCATAATTATTAACTGCATCCCATTTCATTCTCAGAAGTGTCCTGATTTAAATAAGTCGTAGAACCATCCTACCTAAAACGCGCTTAGTGCCCTCCTTAGGGCATCTTTCAATTCCTTGTTCCTCATACTATAGATCAAGGGGTTTAAAATGGGAGTGATAGAAGTGTAGACCACAGACACCACCGGGTCCATCTCAGGAGAGTAGCTGGAACTGGGGGACAAGCATATAAAGCTGGTGCAGCCATACTGCAGGAGGACCACTAAGATGTGAGAAGAGCAGATTGGGGAAGGCTCGGTGGTGCCTTTCTGCTGACTGGATCTGTAAAATAGCTTCCACGATGAAGACGTAGGAGATGGAGGTTACTGAGAGGGGGATGCTTAGGACGATGAAGCTGATGATAGTTTGGTGAACGTGCGTGTCTGCACAAGCCAGGCGCACGACGGCAGGCATGTCACAGTAGAAGTGGTAGATTTCGCTGTTGTTGCAGAATGGGAGATGGAAGATTAAAATAGTCAGTGGTAGCGACAGCAGGAACCCCAGTACCAGGGATCCTACCATCAACTCCACACACAAGGGCCAGCTCATGATGAGGGTGTATCGTAGAGGGTAGCAGATTGCTATAAACCGGTCATAAGCTGTGACTGCAAGCAGGACACGATCAACCCCACCCAAGAAGACAAAGAAAAACATTTGGGTGCCACATCCAGTGATAGAAACAGGAGTTTTGCCCATTGAAAGAAGGTTTTCCAAGGCCAGTGGGGTGATGGAAGATGTATAGAAGATTTCCAGAACTGCCAAGTTAGCCAGGAAAAAGTACATGGGGGCGTGGAGAGAGTGTTGATCTGGACAGTAACTGCAATGATGGCATTTCCACTGAGGCTGGTCAGGTACATCACCAGGAAAGCCACAGAAATCACCACCTGTACCTTTGGGTCAGCTGAGAATGGACGAAAGAAGAATAGTATCTTTGCAGTTTTTTGTATCAAACAGTTGTTTGATTGTATCAAACAGTTTTATTTATTTCTTCCATGGGTATGGCATTGGACCTACGAAAAGGAAAGATGACACAGTCTATAGGTACCTCTCATTCAATACGATGCTTTCCCAACGTTTCCATTCATGGAAGTACTTTGGCAATTATGTGCACACTTTCATTTCAAAGCAGATCATGGAACATTATCATGTGTACATTTGCCACCTTTACCCTCAAGTACTGAAGACTGAGAAATCCTCAGTGGTGGGGATTTTGATGATCTTTGCTTTAATTCCAGTGCCTAGCATAGTACCTGATAGAGAAAGTTTTCCAAGAAGTATTTGCTGAATGAATTAATGAATAAAGTCAATTTAAAGTTCAAAGGTACAAAATAGGTAAAATAGGGCTTCCCTGGTGGCGCAGTGGTTGACAGTCCGCCTGCCGATGCAGGGGACGCGGGTTCGTGCCCCGGTCCGGGAAGATCCCACGTGCCGCGCAGCGGCTGGGCCCGTGAGCCATGGCCGCTGAGCCTGCGCATCTGGAGCCTGTGCTCCGCCACGGGAGAGGCCACAACAGTGAGAGGCCCGCGTACCGCAAAAACAAACAAACAAAAACAAAATAGATAAAATAGGGTATCAATTCATTATGGGAAACTTGAAATGGGAAATTTTAGGAATGTATAAATAGCTGTGTGTCGTAGTTTAAAGAAAATTGTGCTAGAGCTACATTGTGATATTGCATCACAAGCTCTGTAATTTAGCTCAAAACCTAGAGACGTTATTGCTTCATTTTGCTTCCTCTCCTTTATCCAATAAATACCAGTATTCATTTGTCCCTAAATACTGATAGTTGGTCCTTCAAATTTTTCTCATCTCAAAAAACAAACATTATATAATATTATTCATATGTGGAATCTAAAAAAAATAATAATACAAATGAACCTGTTTACAAAACAGAAACAGACTCACAGACTTAGAGAATGAACTTATGGTTACCCGGGGGGGGAAGGGTGGGGAAGGAGGGATAAATTAGGAGTTTGGGATGGACATGTACACACTGCTATATATAAAATAGATAACCAACAAGGACCTACTGTATAGCACAGGGAACGCTGCTCAACATTCTGTAATAATCTAAATGGGAAAAGAATTTGAAAAAGAATAGATACATGTATATGTTTAACTGAATCACTTTGCTGTACACCTGAAACTAACACAACATTGTTAATCAACTATGCTTCAATATAAAATAAAAATTTTCAAAAGTTCTCATATCTATTACTTTGGTCCCTTCCCACTGCCCTGTTAGTTCTATCCATTGTTACCTTACATTTGGATTCTTGTGATTACCTCCCATCTAATCTTCCATTTCCCTTCTTTTCTCTCTATAATACATCCTGCCCTCCATTATCATATTATTCATCTGCTTAAAATTTTTCAAGGCCTTCCTATGTATTAAATGACAGCTTTCTCACTCCTCTGCTGATTATTCCAGTGTCTCCTGGATCAGACTCTTTTTTTTTTTTTTTGGTGGTACGTGGGGCTCTCACTGTTGCAGCCTCTCCCGTTGCGGAGCACAGGCTCCGGACGCGCAGGCCCAGCGGCCGTGGCTCACGGGCCCAGCCGCTCCGCGGCATGTGGGATCTTTCCGGACCGGGGCACGAACCTGTGTCCCCTGCATCGGCAGGCGGACTCTCAACCACTGTGCCACCAGGGAAGCCCTGGATCAGACTTTTTTAGGCTAATCCCACTATGGCCCTCAGTTATCCCTGTTATATACCATATGGTCTACTCATTGGCTTCTTATCCATCATTCTCCTTTCTGCTTCATATCATTCTATTTTCCTTCTAGCTAGAAGTCTTCTCTCTGTTGTCTGATTCAAATCCTGCCCACTTTGAAAATTCTAGGTTATGTTCTTCTTTTGCAAAGTCTTCCTAGGCCACTCCAGTTTAAATCTCTCTCTCCTTTCTCTGAAATTCTATGTCACTCATCATGTTATGATTTTAGAGCTAACATACTGTCTTTACTGTATCTGTGTGTTCTGTCCCAAATTATATTCTAGGTTCCTGGAGGACGAGGGCTCTGTCTTATGACAAATTATCATTTATTCCATGTTAAGTGTTAGGCAAAGTGAAAGTACTTAAACGGGTTAGCTTACTTCATCCATTAAACCACTTTAGTAGGCATGTACTATTATCATACCCATTCTACAGATGAAGACATACAGGATTAAAAAAAAAGTTAAAAAGTGCTTTGGGGCTTCCCTGGTGGCGCAGTGGTTGAGAGTCCACCTGCTAATGCAGGGGACACGGGTTTGTACACCGGTCTGGGAAGATCCCACGTGCCGCGGAGCGGCTGGGCCCGTGAGCCATGGCTGCTGAGCCTGCGCGTCCGGAGCCTGTGCTCCGCAACGGGAGAGGCCACAGCAGTGAGAGGCCCGCGTACCACAAAAACAAACAAACAAAAAAAAAGGTGCTTTGAAGTCACATAAGTTGGAAATGGGAGAGCTGGGATTTGAAAGTTTGTCTATAGCTTTTGTCCTTAATCTTTATTTATACTACACTGCCTCCCCTATACTTTATATCTCCTAAGTGGTTTTGTTATTTGATTGGTTATAGTTCAGCCATAGGTAGAACTCTGGATGGTCAATTGGAAAAAGAGCACCTAAGATCAGAGACCAAAAATGTTTGATTACAGTATTTCCAGACAAGAGAAGCATAATTATAATTTAGACTGTGGTTCATCTAGTAAATACTGCCCTTGCCAATGCAACCAAAAAAATCTCCCTTCTTTCTCTCATAAGGAGCAGAGGGAAAGTGTTTGGTTAAAAACAATGGGGGTAAAAAAAACAAACAAACAACCAAAAAAAACAATGGGGGCTTCCCTGGTGGCACAGTGGTTAAGAATCCGCCTGCCAATGCAGGGGACACTGGTTCAAGCCTTGGTCCAGGAAGATCCCACATGCCGAGGAGCAACTAAGCCCATGTGCCACAACTACTGAGCCTGCGCTCTAGAGCCCGAGAGCCACAACTACTGTAGCTGGTGCGCCTAGAGCCCATGCTCCGTAACAAGAGAAGCCACCGCAGTGAGAAGCCCGTGCACCACAACGAAGTGTAGCCCCCGCTCGCCGCAACTAGAGAAAGCCTGTGCGCAGCAACGAAGACCCAACACAGCCAAAAATAAATAAATGGATAAATTTATTTAAAAAGAAAGTTTCTCACTCATTGTGGTCTCTTCCTTGTGACAAGATAAAGCTGTAAGTTATGTTTTATCTGGAAGCTATCTCAACTTTAGATTATATGAATTGCTTTTGTTATTGCAAAGAAGAAACTAACAAGACACATTTTTCAAAAGACGGTCTGGAACATATTTGTTTTAATGATGCCAAAATATTGAACCACATGTCGGGCATCATGCAAACAAATAACTGAGTGCTTTGCTTACTTCATTCTTTATGTAAATCTGGAGGGATAGTAGGGGTTATTGGGATCCGTGTTGTGCTTCCTAGACTAGAATTTTTATAGTCTAGAATCTAGAAGGTACAGAGCTGTGTCTAGAACAAAGTGAAGTCCTAGCATCAGCAGAGCACAGCTTTTTAAAAAAGTCAATTTTAATGTGAAAATTTTTGGATATAGAAAAATAAAAACGTGGAGATAGTATGCATAGAAAAAAGATCTGCATGAATTTGGGAAATAAAAACATAAGATTTCCGAGAGATTTCTTGGTGACTGAGCACCAAGACCTTAGGAATGTAAATTGTCTCTCGTGCTAATTAGATTACCTAAGTAGAAACGATCTAAAAGTACTGATTTAGACCCTAGATTGGCTGTTACTCAGTGGAAAATATAATTCCCCAAACTTCCCAAATATAAAACCTTGACTTGGAACACCTCCTCCTTTATTATTCCAAAGAACACAACTAAAGTAGTAGTCAACACTTTCTAAGATAGATATGCCTAGAGAAAACTCCCAGGGGATAACTAGTCTTTGGAAAGATTGTTTATCATCTCTTGAGACTGTTTACAATCATGTGACCAAGAACAAAGCTTCATGAGTTCTTCATCCTTCACGTAAACCCTGTACAAGTTGACTAGTGGCCATAAAAGATCACACATACCCACAGAATCGGAGCTCTGCCAGGTTATATGATCCATCTCTTCCAAAGAGATTGCCTGACTTGTTCAAGGTTGCCCCGGTAGGTCATTTTTTAATTCATCATTTAAATATACAAGGTACTGTAGAGGATGCAAAGAGGATTGAGATGCCGTCTACTTCATGGAGTCAGAGGGACAAGACTGTCAGCCAGATTTTCCCTTATTCTTTTCTGTTTGCAACACCTTCCATCCTCTCTTGTCAGTTTCTCTCGATTTAAATTGTAGACAACATTTAATAACAAGGGGAAAAAAGTAGTGAAAAGGTGATCTTTTACCTAAGTCAGTAAACTGTCTCTTTGATTATACAACCAGCTTTTAGGAGAATGCATTCATTAAAAAGAGCATACAAATTTGGGGGAGATGATGATTCCAAGCAAGATGGTAGAAGGTAGGCTATGTTGGAATTGAATGATGTGTATTAGGATCCCAGCTTTGCTACTTATTAATTTTGTGATCTTGCTAGCTCGTTTGCTCTAAGACCCCATTTGCTCAGAATAACACCTCATTACTTTACAAGATTGTCATGATGTGCAAATGAAACACTGTCCATAAAAGAACCTACAGGAATGTCTGGCACATATTAACTGTTCAGTAAAGTACACTGATTCATTGATTCCTTCATGATCTATCCTGAGACTGAAAAAGATTTACATGGCTGCGTAGACAGAATGCCTGGCCGGTCTATCTAACATTTTCTGGGAGAAATTTTGTATTACATCTGGTTCCACTACTAGTTTCCTGTGTCACCTTATATTGCAGAATCCCTCTTTAAGTAGAATGAAGGATGAGCACTGTTTCATCTACTTATAAATGAGTTGTTACAGTTAAAAGATAGTTT